GTTCAGGAAATGGACACTCCAAAAAAGTATAGGAGCAATGATAATTGATGATAATTCAATTAACTTACTCTTTGAACGCTTAGGTTATATACGGTCTAAATTACCGTAATTCCGTTCTCAGTTATTCGACTTCCGGTAGCTTTTTTATTCAATTCTAACTTATAGGCTAAATCGTCAATTAGAAATCTTTAATTATTCAGCAATTAATCATCGAGTAACTCGACTTGCTCTCAACTACTTTTCGCAAACATTAACTTTGCGTACCTAAAATTTAATGCTTAAATATCACCCTTCATTTACATGAATCGTGTTTTTCGAGAGAAAGTACTCAATAGAACATTTAAAAGAAATGATTTTCTCAAGACGATTAGTAAATGCTCACGGATAGACCCGTTACAACTTATAATCGCACAAACCAGCTCAACCGCCTGCCACCTTTTCGACTGGAGAAATGATGGTGTATATTGATAGGCCTAGGCCTATACGTAGACAACGGTCATCACACATAGCCCGTTGACATATCGTCCGAAATTGACATTGCTCATACCTAAAGACGTCCCTGATTATGTAAAAATGTTTTAATTTGCTTCGCAATTGGTGAATACAACATTCTTTTTCGTTTAGTTTTTGAAGTTATGAAACAACAAAGATTCACCAAAAAATATACTTTCTCCCAGATTTAAATTGATTCATTTACTGAAGAACAAAAACTTCTCCAGTCCTGAGTCTAAAAGACATTAATACATTTTTTTTTAAATTCATCTAAAATTAATTAGTGAAGTATTGTACATTCTCATCGATTAAAAACAAAATAAATTACCGAACAATGAAGCTAGAAATTTTTTAAAAACTCTTCATCTAAAAGTTGTAACAACAAAGAAAAATTCCCGGATAAATTATTTAACAAACTTGAATACCAGTTTAATTTATCTCTGGTAAAGTCAACTTTTTTTTTTAAAGTCTTATTATGCAACACTTAAATTAAACATGGTCAAAAAAATTGCTTTCCTTGTAAGAATGTTTCTTTTGAATTAAATCATGCATAATAATTTCAGTGTGAAGCTCATTAAAAAAATACGGGGAGGAAAAAAAATCTTTATAAATGTTGAAAATAAAATTTATTCTAAGCTTGGCAAAGAACCAAATAATTAAAGTTCCTTCGTTGAAAAGGAAATTGCATCCAATGAGAGTAATTAGTTTTTTTCTCCTTTAGATACGTGAATAATCCAACTCAGCCTTCACATTTTCGAAAATTAGGAATGCCATTAACAGTTCTCTTAACAATCTAAGTAAGAACAAAAGATAACTTGTTCTAAAAGTATTTTAAACTTACACCCATCTGATCAAAATATTTCGCGGTTAAAAGTTATTGTAATAAGAGTATCACAGAACTTTCCCATAAACAATTTGTATTTATACTTAGAATTTTATCAATTTTTGATTAAAATTTTTTGTTAATTTTCATTCTTAATTATATTTTTTTGACGGCGGCTCGGTGGCTTAGAGGTAGCGCGGCCTTTTCGTAAGCTTAAGGTTGTGGGTTCGACACCGGCTGGAGTCGATAGATTTTCTGGATGAGAAAATCTATCGACACGCGTGTAATATGATTATGTGGCATGTAGAAGATCCCTTGAGTATCAATTTGGCTCTGGTTCTTTGGGCAAAATAAAATCATATGGCAATTTTCAGCATCTGATGAGAGCTTGAGTTAAAATTAATTCTCAACTCGCGTCTCGACAAGGCTGACTACAAGTTCGCGACCATAACCATTTGGCTACCGTGTCTATGAAGACATGAGAAGATAAGCTTAGGGAGGGAAAACACCAATTTATTTTTTTAACAAAAACTTAACTAAATATTGTTTACGTTAACTTCTTCAAAATGCAAATTTGTAATTTAATTTGAGTATGTTTTTCTCGTTTTAGGAAAACAATTTGATTTCTGACTGTATTTGCATTATATAAAATGTATACGCACACTGGTTAATGGATTAGAAACCTTTAAGATTTGCATTTAAATGCGAGCTAGGTATAAAGTATGCATTTTTTTTATGATGGGGGTTACACGTGGTTAGAATGCTAGTATAAGTAAGAGACAAGAGTACTTTTCACAATAAATCAAGTAAAATGGAAAAACGACACTTTTGACGACTTGCTGATGCTAGTTTAGCAGGGGCCTCCATTTCGAAGACAGCAAATCTCACTGGGTTCTCAAAATAGCAAACATACCACAGGATTTTAAAGTTTGAATCAAAGCTGCTCTCCAAAAGCGTAGTTGGCGTCGCCTCCAACGAATTGTACGGCAGAACAGGGACTCTACTAAATCGTCAACTAAGGATGTTCCCAAGATTCAGCTCGAACCATGCGTAGAGAATTGCAAAGAATAGGAATGCATAGTCGGGGGCCTTTAAGAAAACCATTTCTGCCCGAAATGCAGTGGTGTCGGGAAAGAAGACACCGGTCATCTGAGGATAAGAAACAGCAGTGTGGTTGGAAGAATCCCGCTACAGTTTATTTTGCAGTGATGGAAGACTTCGAGTTCGGCGCGAGCCCCACGATGCCATTAATCCCTCTTACCTTTCTCGCACTATGCAAGTGTCTGGTGGGAGTATCATGATATCGTCGGCCTAGTTATCAGACTGCGTAACTCCACCGGTGTAACTGATTTGATATAGGAGTGCAACGCGCCAAGCGCTTTTTGGCGCGATTCCTTAATCCTTTGGTTTTATTTACGCCATGCCTCAGTGCGCGCTCCGCTTTTAATTTATTCCTCGATCAGTGTAATCACTACTTTTTTTATTTCATAATAAAACTAGATTTCGAAGGGAGAGGTGGTGGCAAGATTTTAACATAAAATAAATACAACAGAAAGTAATATTAATGTATTACACTTCCAGATATAAATTATTTACACTATTTTAAGCGTTCATTACACAAAATTTGTAGCAATGTTACTTTTGCTGAGCAGAGATCCCGCGGGAAAAAACCAAGACAAAAAACTAACACTAATAAACATTATTCCGATGACAACCACATTATCGCACGATAAAAATATCAAAGCAAACCATATTGTAATACTATCGCCTATCTTGGCGAATATAAACAACTTGGCGCCTAGCCTTACTGTATCAAATTAGCATACCAGATGGAGTTACGCAGTCTGATAATTAGACCGATGATATGGGACATGTTCTGCTGGTATAAAAGTGCTTTGTGTGTTCCTCAAAAGTAAAAACATCCATGAAATACCTAGATATACTGACGAATAAAGTACACCCTGTAGTGCTGTATTTTTAACCTGATGGCGACGGATACAGATCATGGACGATAGTGCATCGTGTTAGAAGTGTTCAAAATTGGTTTACTTAACATCTGTCTGACTGCCAACACCTTCCTTCGCCACCGCATAGCCTGGATCTTAACCTTATAGAAAATGTAAGGGATATAGTGGAAATACACATTTGACATCACTCTCCTTTTCCATTTAATTTACAAGATCTAAAAAGCTGCGAAGCCAATGTATGGCATTCTCTAAAATGCACTCCAGAAGCATGTAGACTCAATGCCCAAACGAATCCCAGAAGTTATACGTGCAAAAAGAGGCCCAATAAAATATCGATCTTGGGTTTCTAATCCATTGGCCATTGTGTGTATTATGAGATACAATTTATAATTATATTTTCGTTTTATGTTTACGCGATCAAAAAATATAAAACTTCTATTTCGACATTACTATGCTCAAGAATTTTTTAACATCAACAAGTGTTCCAATTTTGAGTCCAATTCTTTAAAATTATGTGAAGAAAGATTTTATTTTATGTTAGAGAGAAAATAAGATTTTACTATAATAATTTATACTTATTTCCCTTTTTGTACATTGCTATATGCAAGTTTATACCGCAATCGTACATGAAATACATGAGTGGTAAAAAGCTCATTGAATTATTTATCAAAATAGAAAATTTCACATGCATAGCATGTATCTTCCATAGCATATAATTATTAGTGGTATTTGGACCGTGCTTCAGATAAATAGCCAGAATTTTCGTCGAGTACAACCTACAATTAGCTTCTGAACATAAATCTTTCAAGTCTGAATTAAATTTCATGAAGCATTTGTATCAATTGTTCTGAATAAGTAATTTTAATTCAGAATCCATTCCTGTAATGATTCATTTGTTTTAGTTTTCTCAGAAATTCCAAAGGAGAATCAGTAGCTCTAGATTATTCTAGAGCTGTTTTCTTTTCTTTTATCTAGCTTTTGCTTTCAATGTTTTAAAGCCTATGTGCGATTTCAAATATGTGTTTCTTAATAAATATTTTCCCTAATTTCAATAGGATATTGCTTGTCCTTGTGACAACACTTAAAGAATCCAGTGCATAAAGCGTTCCACTCTTCAACTTTCCGTACTACACTAATGTGAGATCCTTGAGCCTCTAGAACGCAGGTGGGCATTAAGTCGATCACAATCGATCAGTTGACCACCAAGATATTTTAAGGTGACCCCCAGAAGATTAGCAGTTTGTAATTATATATCGTAATGTTCAAGATTGCCTGACAGTATGCAGGCAGTCTTCCACTGACTATAACTACAAGAACTAACTTTAGAATGAAATGCTTTATTTTTTAATGTACTTGGAATTGTTTGATAATAAATGCATCATTTTATATTAATGTATTTGTTATTATTTGTTCGTTTGTATCTTGCATTTTGCTTTAAACACTATTTTAAAAATATGAGCCTTTTTTTCAATTCTTATAATTAGTTCATTCTCTCACTATACATCTTGTTCAAATTCTGAATTTTTAATAAAAAATACTTTATATTCATCCATTCAAGTTCAAATACATTTTTTGAAACTTGTAGTGGATGACACTTGATGTTAATACAGTTTTTTAAATATTAATTCATTTATTAAATTAAAAAAATGAATAAATAGTTAGTAACAAACAAAAATAATAGTCCAACAGCATATATAGAAAGGAAAGTCGTTCGTAGTGTTCCTGTAGCGCAATGGGATAGCGCATTGGACATCTAATTAAAAGGTCGTGGGTTTGAATCCCACCTGGGATGGCCTAATTTCTGCGAATGTTGTTTCTTTTTTACTATAATATATTTTTAGAATTAAATTTAATTAATGAATAAATAGTAACAAACAAAAATAGTCCAATACCATATATAAAAAATAAAACGGAGAATTGCAAGAAAAATTGCTCTCTATTTTGTCACTTAATATTGGATTCTGTCATGCTTACATTAATTGTAACTATGTAATAAGTAGTAACTAAAATAAAATTTCTTTGTTGACCAAAGTAGGAATTGACTTATTTTTTTTATATTACTTGTTTTTATTTTAGTTAGGCAGGTTAGTACATTATTTAGTTGTAATAAATATTGCAGACCGTTTTCTTAGCACACCACACCTGCGCCTCTGGATGGACAGCAATACCTTGGAAAAATTAGAAGTAGCTCCCTACCCAGGGGTACACCTGCGCCACTGGATGGACAGCAACACCTTGGAAAAATTAGAAGTAGCTCCTACCCAGGGGGTACACCTGCGCCACTGGATGGACAGCAACACCTTGGAAAAATTAGAAGTAGCTCCCTACCCAGGGGGTACACCTGCGCCTCTGGATGGACAGCAACACCTTGGAAAAATTAGAAGTAGCTCCCTACCCAGGGGGTCTGCCCATTCCTGCTCAAGAACTTTAACGCGCATCGGCCTCGGAGTACGGCGAATCTGCGTGAGTGTTTATTACCGTCACACAATGAGGCAACGCGATGGCTGTTGGCGACAGACCTCATAATTTCGAACCATGATCAAGTGATAAGGACGACACCCAAGCCGGTACCTCCTTTCCAAACTACCACACAAATGGGGAACTTCACGCCTCGATAGATTTAACATGAATCGGCCCCTGTGCAAGGTGGACCTTCAGTGATACTAGAGCTTGGACTTGTGGCCATAATCACTAAGCTACGGCGGCCACAGGGTGGATCTGCAATGGCACCATAACTTGAATCCGCAACTCAACAGCAATAACGCCAGGTGTTAAGTTCATGAACATGACCACTCTGCTACGATGGTCACCAAACAAGAGGGGATGGTACATCAAGGTGAGTGATCGAACACAAGAAAAAAAATCGCTGGGTCATTCCGGAAGTGCGTCATTTGTTTTTATCCAAAACAATTCCTACAATCTTTGGAATAACTACAAATTTAACATTTATGTACTTATGAATGTTTGTATATTTGTTTGCAACATATACAAATGCTCACCAATCAGTGGCGCACACAAGGGGGGTCTGACCCCCCCTAAAGCCCTTGATATGTTTCCAATTGATTATAATTCTAAGTATATAGTACGTAAAATTTAAGGTATCCGACTACGTTCGGAACCGTGATTTTGCAAAAGCGCATAAATGGATCATTTTCATGATATTTAGTGTCACTTAGATTAGAATATATGCATAAAATTGCTTTAAAGACATTTTGACAAAAAAAAATTTATTCAAATACAATATTTTGGCCAAAAATTAACTTAGAATAATCTTGTTTCCAAATGTTCTCCTTTTGTGAAAAATGCTTCTATTATAATAATATTTTGCCGGTATATAGCTCAGACCTCTGTACAGAGAGGCTCAACTAGAATGTTTGAAATACATAATTTAGAAGTGGGTTTATTCATATTTTACGACAACAGAGGGGAACCATTTTAAGAAAAAAACGCCAATAATTATTTCAATGGGTGGTAACTCTGAAAATAATGTGAATTTTTCAAAAATTCTAGTTGAGCCTCTGTAGAGGGGTCTGAGCTATATACAGGCAAAATATTATTATAATAGAACCATTTTTAACAAAAGGAGAACATTTGGAAAAAAGATTATTCCAAGTTAACTTTTTGCCAAAATATTATATTTAAATAATTTTTTTTTGTCAAAATGTCCTAAAGTCAATTTTATGCATGCATTCTAATCTGAGTGACACTGAATATCATGAACATTATCCATTTATGCGCTTTTTTAAAATCGCAGTTCCGAACGTAGTCGCGGATACCTTAATTATATTTGTTATTAATGATTAATTTTATTAATTAATGCTAATTATTTATTCAACAATTAGTTTTTTACTGTGTTTTGTACCCGAAAATCGACAAAATCTAAAGGAGCATGATACAACAATGGTGAACTTTCGACCACGGAGCCTCTCCCCCCCTGAAAAATTTCTGTGTGCGCTACTGTCACCAATGATCGTATCTTTCCAACATTGTACAGGAAGTTTCACTGATGTTTCAAAGCAGCCTCAAGCTTATTTCCGGGGGCGGGGGGGGTAGTGTTTAAAGGAAATTTTGTGCAAAGTCACCCAATGCTGTGATATGCAGCCAATAGTGGAAAGCCATTCCGATCATGTTTACAAGGCGATTACTGCATTTGGCAACACCTTATGATTTGGTAACGCTTAAAAACGGGGTTTATAGATAAAAATGTCAGTTTTTTTTAACTATAAAATACACAAACTTTAAATTTGACAAAAGTGTTTCTTTTGTTGAATAAGAACCTTCAATATGAACGGGTTTTACGAAAATCGACTTCCAAAGGATGGGGTTACTAATCTGTAAAAAGGTAAACATATTAGGCTTTAGAAATTCCGATCCTGTTATTTTCAAATCAAGATGTGAGGATTATGAAAATGTTTTTGAATACTATCTAAACTTAGACTTAGATATCAATAACTACATATTCACATCGTAAAATACAATATGACATTCTTCATACATATGACATCATATACATCATGAAATACCCCGTGAAGCAGGTGGGTAACGGCTATTATTATAAATCCCGTTAAAATTTTAAAAATCTTATTGAATAAAGGGACAAAATACATATTTGATCAATTATATTACAAGAAAAGATTGATTTGACAGAAAGAGCTATTAATATATTTAATTTGTACAATAACCTGAACAGAACGTTTTTTTCAGTACCAAAATTTAATTCAATAACGTTCGCAGACTTAAGAATAGTCTGCAAGAGAGTTGTTAGGGGCTTTACTTGGGCGCCTAGCTTATCCAACTCTTGCCTGTTAAGGCGCATTTAACCTCCCATGCAGACAGACACTTGAGAAATTTTGTTGGGTTTCCTGCCACAATCACGTTTTTACAATAAAAGCTTCACGGGTGAGTGACAAATACCCTTTGCAACGTCGGCAACAGCACGCAATTTCATTATCTTCGCCGTGGTGTTTCTATGACCAAAGACGTTTGGTAAGTCTTCGTATTCTCTAATAAGGTATGGCAAAGTTCTGAAAAAAAGTGCCAATTTTTATCGCTCCCTATCTACTTATAGGATTTCAGGAGACGGTTTTATTGCAATGATAGCATTAATTACGTTCATAAATTTTTTTTAACTTTATGACTTTTAAAAATAAATTACAAATAAAAAGCATAAAAATAGTAATAGCAAATTAAATACAGAAAAAATACACGGTAAACATTGGCGTAAAGATTCAATAAAAAGCAGGAATCGCGTAAAATCTTAGCATCTTTTTCATAAAAAAAAAAAAAAAAAAAAATTGGAAATTAATGTACTTATGATTAGTTTTATTTTCAAATAACCCCATATGTTCCGCTTAGTGATTGATTACACACGCATGTAAATCATATCGATGGACTCAGACTCTCAAAAAAAAAACTACTCTCCTACGTATTTTTTTTATGTATAATTCCACGTAGAAGACTATTTTCAGATTTTGTTTATTTAAGAATATTAGAGTTGCTCTTCTCATAACAAGAATCTATATGAAACTTCATTTTCAATAGAGTTGTATACATCAGCTTTTTCAAACTGTGGGGCGCGCCCCCTGGAGGAGGGCGTGAGCATATTGAAAAGTCAAACAAAAGATTTAAAATAAGTTAATTCACTAAAAGGAATCAAAACAAAATACATTATAACATAATAAAAATTAAATACACCATTATGCAGATATAATATATTTACAAATGTATCAGTACTGCACAACGTTTTTGATAATTAATTTTTCAATACTAAATTAAAAACAAGTTTAATAATTACTAGTGCAGTGCTTCTCAAATTGTGGGGCGTGATAACAAAACGAGGCGGCGGCGAGGGGGGAGCACGAGCATATCGAAAAGTCAAAAAATAAAACATTATTTAAAAACATTAATTTACTATGAAAGGAAGCAAAACAATACATTCTGCCATAATAAAAAATAAAATACGCATTTACACTGATATAATATACTTATAAATGTATCAGTACTGCACACTGTATTTGATAATTTATCAATACCAAGAACAATTTTAACAATTACCAATGACCCCATGGGCTTGTCATATATAAATTATATAAAAAATTTAATACTTGATCTTAATAATCTGTACGGTTTGTATATTGTAGATTTACGTCAAAGTACATTGTTATTAAATTCAATACATTGCTATTGTTTGGATGGGGGAGAGGGACCCACTAAGAAAATTATGACTGAAAATTGGGCGGTCGCAAATATTGAAAGTTTAAGAAGCACTGTAATAATGCCTTCTATGGGTTTGTCATACACAAAATTCAATACTTATCTTGATTATTTGTATGATTTATAATTCAAGTCAGATTGTAGCTTTACTGTCAAAGTACATTTTTATTGCAGTCAATACATTGCTGTTGTAAGAGGACAGAGATGAAAATTATGATTGAAAATGGGGTTGCAAGTATTGAAAGTTTAAGAACTGCGAAATAAAATTGCATTTCTGACATTTTAAAACAAAGACGTTCTGTGTGTGTGTGTGTGAGTTTACTATTCTTTTAAGAATAAACAGTAGATAAGAATATTTCATATATGAAAGAGATACTATTGTCTTTATAAATATTCAAGTTGTTATGCCTCAACAAACTTTTAGTACATTCAAAACACATTTGTTTAAAAAAGGGAGAATTCAATATGAAAATTTATATATAAATTCGTTTTCACTTTTAAAAAATATAAATCTATCTTATTAGTTACTTGTATCACTTTTAGTTTGTATTAGTTATTTGTATCTTGTCTAAAAATGTA